GGCAAAAAAGGAAAAAGGATTTATTCAAAGCTAGCTCTGAGGAGATGGAGGCTTTATTTGGCTCAAATAACCATCTCAACATTTACAGGTGGGCAAGGGTCCATCGTAAGAAGGAACAGATGGGAAGGGGAACATGGAGAGACAAGTTATACATTTACCTTTGCTTTATCACTTCCAGGCATCTTTAGTTTTTGTCCCCTTTCTTGTGGAAAGAAAACTGGATTTCAACCCTTCTGGTGTCAGCATCTGCATATTCTGTTCTTTGGGCTGAGGAGACATGGTGGAAGCAGTTTCTGTCCTAGACCTCAGGAAGTTGTTTGTCTCTAAAGGGAAAAAAACCCTAACCTTGTGCAGGGTCCCTTATCCTTGGCGACCTATTCTGAGGGCTCATTGCTCAGAGTCAGCAAGGTGGATGGCTGGAAGTGGACTTGCAGGGAGGGGGTCCAAATAAGTGGGGGTTGGTATGCTGGGGGCCCACATGGCCCACCTCTACCTCCCTCACCTGGCTGCCTCTCTGCCCCAGCACTAGAGTGTGAGAAGCCTGAATCAAGGAAACTCAGAGCCTTGACTGCCTGCTGTCCCCAACTCTCAGTTGCCTGCTGCCTGGTCTATCCTGTGGTGACTCTGGGGTGTCACTTTGCCCTTGGGACAGGTGAACTCTGAGTACCTTCCTGGCTCATCCTGCAGAAGACAGTAACTCATCTGCAGCTTGATTCTGTGGGATCACAGTCTATTCTCAGTGGGAACAATTATTGTTTTATTGAATGTCCTCCAGGTGCTGGCCTGTTAGTCCAAAGGACTTTTCTATCTAAATACCTGATGATGGGCTGGAGATTTAGCTCAGTGGCACCGCGCCTGCTTCAAAAGTGCGAGGTCGTGAGTTCGATCCATGGTACCAAAAAAACCCCAACAACAACAAAAAACTCCACAAAAAAATAAATACTTGATGATTCATTTAGTAGGATTTCCACAAGAAAGTCATTTGAATTACCAAAGCAGTCAATTAATATTTCCCCTGAAATAAAGTTGGTAGTAGCAAGTTTGGAAATTTCTAGAAAAAAAAGGGAAGAAAATAAAATCATTTGTTCATAACTGAAAAACATTTCTAGAATTTTGTAATATATTTCTGTTGGATTGTATTTCACCATATGTTAAAAAGGCATCCAGGCCAAGGATTTAGCTCAGTGGTTCTGCTGCCTCCTTCATAAGAAGAGCAAGGTCCCGAGTTCAATCCCCAGTACCAAAAAAAAAGCATCCTTCACAAAGATGCAAATGTAGTGAACATTCTATTTCTAACCTTACTTTCTTCCTCTTTGTTTTGTCAGTATTTTTCCATATCAGTCATTTTTTTCTGCCCTTTTTTAGCAGTAGTAAGTTAATATAGCTAATAAAAAGTGAAACACTTCAAAAATTTAGGAACGAATGCCCCATTATTTTGACTAGACTGACTTTTGACTACAGTTGACTTGCAGTCATCTGCTTGGAGTTTTTTGCATACACCAACATCCCCAAACATTCAGAGATGATTTCTGCAGAATCTATGCAGAAAATGAAAGCAGTTTAAAACACAAAATGCACCTCTTAGCATAAATCTTTCCTGTCTTTACTAACAAATTGGCAGGCATAAGTGTTTGGAATGAACATGGCGGTGTGCTCAATGGTAGGTGTTGAACTTTCAAAGTACAGATACACCCTTTGTCCAGGAAAGTGTTGTCACCAGTTAGACTTTCTCAGGAATGTGTACACAGTCAGCCAATTGCACAGTGTGGATGTGCACAGGGAGCTACCCAGCTTCCTCAATTTTAGGTTAATCTTCCCCAGCCCACAATGATCCTTAGAATGAGTTCCGGGGGGTATAATTGTGCCTGTATGTTTTCTATGTACACACATGTGGACATACATAAACACACTGTGTTCTACCAGCATAGTGTCAGGTTGATTTCCAAAAAGATTGTACCTGATTACACTTCCTTCCAACAGTTTGTATGAGAGCATCCACTTAAGGTTCCCTTTTCAAAGCTCAGCTCAGTCATAACAATTTAGGAATTGGAAAACCTGCTCAATTGAATAGGAAAGATTACACTTTTTATCAGGTTTTAGATGATACTTTTTATTTAAAATGGAAATTTTCTCTTTAAAGCAATCTGTTTCTTTATGACTTGTTGACATATCATGTTAATTTTTCTCTTCATCTACTGCTCTATTCCTTAGTGGTTAGTATCCACTCTATCAATTAAAGTAGTTGTGCATCATTAACAGAAAAATAGTAATTTTTCTTTCTCAATCAGTGTGGTTGTAATTACACACTCATTTTCATAGAAAGTTAAGGAAGACATATTTGAATTTTATTATTAAATGTAAATAATTTTAGTTTAAATATATTTGATGATAATAGCATGTATTTGTGCATACTATTTAGTGAGAGCATTAAGATTCTTTGAGAACCACAGTCAAAAGACTAGGTTTTCTTTTTTTTCCTGGTACTGGGGGTCGAACTCAGGACCTTGAATTTGTGAGGCAGGCGTGGTGCCACTGAGCCAAATCCCTGGCCAAAAATACTAGTTTTTATAAAAATCTGGGGACTTCTCAAGTAAAGATTATACATCTTATGCAGAAGATAATGTTCGTGAGATCTTGTCAGGTTTTGCTGCAGCTTTTACTTCCAGTGATAAATGTATTAATAACCTAGATCTTGTGTGTCCTATTATTACAGGCAGCTAAGTTAGATAGAAATTAATAGGCAGTCAGACAGGGATGGGCCCTCAATAGTTAGAGCAAAAGATGAAAACAACCCAAACTGCTGCTGGAGGCACATCCGTTGAAGGCTAGGCCCTAAGATAAAGATGTAATGACCAGGCCTGCAGGCTTCCCTGAGGGATAAACGATAACTTGAGATTGTACTGTGATTGATAGATATCACCTGGTCCAACAAAGTTCAAATAAACATCAGTCACCCAGGTGGGTGATGAGAACATCCATATCCAGTCACTCAGATGGGGACCAGAACATTCAAACCCATCCCTGCTCAAAAATGCCTCTGTTCTTTCTATGTACCTTGCTATGTGAACCACTTCCCTATTAGATCAATATTAGCTAAGCAGCTATACTTGTAATCCTATAGGTTGACTGTAGTTGATCCACTTTGTACCCACATTGTGAGTTGTATAAATTACCCTGACAAAGGGCCTTGGCGCACCCCACTTTTGGAAACCCTCCTGTCTCTCAGGAGCTATCTCTCAATAAATCTTTCCTACTCTTAAGCTCCGGTTGTTCCTTAAAATTTATTCTTCGATTTCTGGCATACTAATTTGATTTATCTAACATGTAGCAGGTTAGGAGTTATGTTTCTCTTGTATTATTATGAATAGACTTTGCTATCAGTTTGTGCCCTTTGTCTTATACTTCAGAAAAATCAGGATTTGAAATAAAACTTTACTGATAGACTCTAAATCCTATTTTGTAGGGAAGAACGATGAAGCAGGAGATATTTATGGTGAGATTTCAAGCTCTAAATTTGTCTTGATGGTTGAGTTTGAGGATCAGTTATTCACAGCTCCTTCTGGTATTATAATTTTAGATTAACCCACATACTTATGAATCCAGTTATTTATTCTTTGAGCTTCTTTTTATTTTTCTTTTTTGTGGTACCAAGAATTGATCCCAGAGCCTTTGCACTGACCTACATCCCCAGACACTTTTGGGGGGGGGCACTGGAGATTGAACTCAGGTCCTTGTGCTTGCGCAGCAGGGAGCGAAACCACTGAGCTAAATCCCCAGCCCCCCAGACATTTTTTTGTTTTGAGAAAGGGTCTTGCTGAGTTGCTAAATTGCTCAGACTGGGCTTGAACTTGTTTCCTCCTGCCCCAGCCTCTCAGAGTCTGTGATAAAGGTGTGTGCCACCATGCCTGGCTTGGAGATTTTTATTATCTTAGAGAAACTTTTGAAAATCTGGGTTTTTTTCTTTTTTAGCTTAGAATATTTGTTTAAAACATGGGCAGGATAAAATACAAATATTTCACCTTTATATTTTCACAATAAATAGACTTAAGAGTTGAGATGACTAGTGATTAGAAGAATGGTGTCAAACTCCTTCTGAGACACTTTGGCTAAGTCCCCTGGCCCAGCATACAGGCAGCCTAGATAGCAGGCAAGTCTCAAAACAAGTTCTTGGGGTGGGGACTTCACAGGTATTAAAACCTTTTTTCTTTGTCTTGCATTTATTTTGCAGTCCTTAGATGGAATCCAAGACATTGTATGTTAGGCAAGTATTCTATCACACTGCTATACTCCCAGCCCCTCTGGATTTTTAATTGTTTTTTAAAATGGTGCTGAAGATTAAACCTAGGGCCTCAGGCACTGTAAGAACTCCAGGACAGACACTCCTTGTTTCTTTCTGTAACAAACAGTAAAGTGGCATCCACCTAATCCTGGAGCTTCCAGCATGCATCCGTTCTACCCATCTAAAGCCTCAGGCTAAGACCAAACGAGCTGATCAGGGAGGGAAAGGGGCTGTAAAAAGGGTTAAGATGCATTATGTCCTCATACCAACTCCCCCGATGAATGTTGTCATCATGTACTTCAAAGATGTATTCATAAAATAAAAATTAAAAACAAAATAAGGGCTGGCTGATAAAATAGACTAGAACAGCAGAGAAGGCCTGTAGATCTAATGGGCTGGTAATGTTCACAGCCAAGGCTCTGCGGACAACATTCCTCATAGACCCCAGGGCAGGGCTTCTCCATTGCTCCTTGGAGGCTCCTGAGCCTCAGATTACTCAAGTACAAAATCCCGGGAACAGGCCTGCTTTCATCCCGGGGCAAGGTTGCTTAAAAGAAACTGAGGAGGTGCAGGGCCCTCCCCGGCCTATTGTGGGTCCTAGTCTGCCACCTCGGTGTCCTCCTTTGACAACAGCCTGTTGAATTTGCATTAATGTTCCTGATTGTATCTCTGCCTTTTCTACTTCTGCTTACCTGCTAGGCTTTAAACTTTTTGCCTGAGGAAATGGGTTTCTGGAGACAGAGTGGCTGCTCCAATAAAGTATAAAACCGAGAAGGCTCTGAGGAAACTCAAATCTTCATTTTGCAGAGCTGTCTCAAGAGCTTGGCACCTGTGTCTCCGTTGTCCCTGCTGTACAGGTGACAGGTGAGCTCTGACCTCCCCATCCTGAAGAGGAAATTCCATCTTTTCCCCGTGGATTCTGTGTGACTATTCTAGTAGAACAGCTGAGTTTTTGTGTGACCTTGGTGTGCTGGTCTGTCCCTCCAGTGGACTTTCTGTTGTTACAATCCCTATTTGAGTCACCAGTAAGTAGGATTTCTACTTAAAAACAATTTGAATTAATTGAAATAAATTGAAGTAATTTTCTTCTGATCTTGAAAATGTAATTTTAATTGTGGAAAGTTTGGAAATTTCTTGGAAAGCAACAGGAAGAAAATAAAATCACCTCTTAGTTCATGCCTGAGAAGAATTGTTAGTATTTTGTTGCATATTCCTGTTGGATTTCTGTCATAATATTTATAGCATATTTTACAAAGATGTAAATGTAGAATTTGTTTGCCAATCTTTTTATTTTCCAACTATTGTATATTCCCATGTCTGTCTTTTTTCTCTGCCATGTTTTTAGCAGCTGTATGTTTATTTGACATGTGAAGGAATTTTGATTGTTTGTTGGTTATTGAAAATAACTAATGTGATACATTTGTACCTAAAATCATTTTAAAATACAAGCAAACATATGTCTATTTCTCAGGTGTTCTTTAATATAATCTCTTTATGAAAACCAGGTCCACTTAATCAATTTCTTGTATAAACCCTAGTAGTAATCAGATTTGATTATCTGTAGAATGAATGGAGAGCATAAAAGATTTAACATGGCTGAACAAAAGCTCCTACATTGCATTTTTTCCAGCTGATGATAACAAATTTCATAAACAGGTGTTTGGAGTGGACCTGGCCAAACCTTGGGAATACATAATATCTTTCAGACCTGTTGATAGTTTCCAAAAAGATTGTGTCTGGGGTCAGGGATTTAGCTCAGTGACACTGTGCCTGCCTCGAAAAGGTCATGAGTTCGATCCCCTGTACCAAAAAAATTTTTAAAAAAGAAAAGATTGTTTGATTACATTTACACTAGAGTGTAGGAGAATGACCATTTTAATGTTCCTTTTTCAACATTTGGCTTCACAATGACAATTTAAGAACCTATAAAACTTGGTAAGTTGGATAAGTGCAAAAAAAATCTTTTTTTTTGGTACCAGGGATCAAACTCAGGAACTTGAGCTTGCAAGGCGGGCAGCGGAACCACCGAGCTAAATCCCCAGCCCCCCAAAAATCTTTCAGCTCTGAGGATCAAACCCAAGGCCTTGCACAAACTAGGCAAGCATCTTGTCATTGAGCTACATCCACAGCCCAGTAACTGAAATTTTAACTGCACCTTGTTTTAGTTGCAGTGCTTACTATTGGGCTGGGGATTTAAAGCTCAGTGGTTTTGCCGCCTACTGCGCAAGAGCAAGGACCTGAGTTCAATCCCAGGTACCAGAAAAAAAAACCCAAAAACAACAACAACAACAAAAATGCAATGCTTACTATTTAGCAACACTAATTGTCTTTTAAGAACATTTTATCTCTTCTTTTTTTTTTTGGTACCGGGGATTGAATTCAGGACCTTGCACTTGTGAGGCAGGTGGCAGCACCACTGAGCTAAATCCCTGGCCCTAAAAACATTTTATTTCTCTATGAATTGATGAACATACCTTGTGTTCATTTTTTCTCCTGGTATTTTCCTATTTCTTTTTTTTTTCAGTACCTGGGATCGAACTCAGGACCTTGCTCTTGCAAGGCAGGCACATGGCCACTGAGCTAAATCCCTGGCCCATTTCCCTATTTCTTGATTTATATCTACTCCCATCAGTTAATAATACTAATCCTTTGTCTATCATTGATAGCAAAATGGAAAATTATGCTTATTTTAATATTCAGCATAGTTGGAAATATAAACTCATTTTCATAAAATCTAGGGAGAACGTAACTTAATTTTTTTTTTTTTAGTACCGGGGATAGAACTTGGGAACTTACGTTTGTGAGGCAGGCGCCGGATAACTTAAATTTTGGCTGTTTTCTCTCTAGTATATAGTTCTTTATGCTTATTTAGTGTGACCCTCAAGATTCTTTTCGGTTTTTTTTCCTTTCGGTACCGGGGAGTTGGTACCGGGGAGTGAACTCGGGACCTTTGGCTTGCAAGGTAGGCGTGGCGCCTCTGAGCTAAATCCCTGGCCCCTTTCAAGATTATTTAAGGCTCAATTTGAAAATAATAGTTTGCATATTCTCAGAACTTCTCCAGCAAATGATTCAAGCATAGCTATAGCAGGCTGGTGGAAGCCAAGAGGTACCGACTTTATTCACCCGGGCAGAAGAGGGCGGATGGCAAGCAAGAGTCCACCAGCCCTGCACAAAGAAAAGGGAGGAAGCTTTAGAGAGGGCATTGAAAGAGAGGCCTGGCACGTCTATCACATATAGGGGTCAGAGCGAATATTTGTGGTAGGGATCCATGCAGCGTTCAAGCCAGGTGTGTGGATATTTTCAGCTGACTTGGCATTGAAAAGATGCTGCACTGTTTAGTTGTTAGCTCTATGTTGGAACAACCTATCCTGGGTTCTGTGTCTGAGATAACTTTGTTAGTCACCTGCAACTGCTGCCTGTTTTGTTGTGGCTTTTTGTATCTTCTCAAACTGTAGCTTGGAATTAAAGAAGATATTCATTAACTATTTCATGACCAGTTCAAGCTTGACAGTAGCCAAAGGTATATTTCAACTTTTCAGCTTTTCAGAGGAGAACAAGATGCTGAATCCCATGCAAAACCTGGAGCAGGCAGTGCTGGCCTCTGCCCTTCAGACTGGAGCGCAGTGGCAATGATTCTGCATCTGTTTGGCATCAGCTGTGTGGGAGGAGAAGGATTACAGTTGAGTATGGCTCCTGGTGACTAGGGCTAGGCTGAGCTTGGAGGAGCCATCTGATCTTAGTTTTCAGAGTGAAGAAGCTGAGATGCTAACATCCACTTAAAAAGAATCACGCTGAAGAGATTAGATTCCCCAGGCTGGCAGTTTCAAGTGTAATTTTGATTGACCTTGGAGTGAAACTTGTATTTGCTGCGTGTATTACCCTTCCTGGGTATTTTCTTTTTTCTTTAGTTTTTGTGTTTTTGAGACAGGGTCTCATTATGTCTTTCAGCCTGGTCTTGAACTCATGGCAGTCCTCCTGTCTCAGCCTCCTGAGTGCTAGGATTAACAGGCAAGTGCTACCACACCCTGCTTGTTTTCTTTTTTTTTTTTTTTTAAATTTTAGTACATATTTGCAATAAATGATTACATTTCTCTAGGGAATTGATACAAGTACATAACACATTTTTTTTTTTTTTTTTGGTACCAGGGATGGAACTCAGGTCCTTCTGCTTTCGAGGCAGGCAGCAGAACCACTGAGCTAAATCCTCAGCCCTACATAACACATCTTAATTATTTTTATCTGTCCCCTTTTCTGCCCTTCCTCCTCTATTCTTGATACCTCTCCCTTCATGCTGTGTTGAGTTTGAATCTTTTCACCTGTGTCCATTTCCCTTGGAATCCAGGCAGGGATCCTGGTGGTTCTGGTCCCTTCCAAGGCACACCCCCTCCTCCCTGGTCTGCGCTTAGCCTGTGCCTGAAGCCTGTTAAAATTCTCATTATTTGCAAATATATATGCTGGCCCTTCTGTCTCCTTACTGAGGTTCTGGATTTATGTGGCAGAGTCATCAGTGCTGGTTTTCCTTTTGTTGTCTATTTGTTTTTGGTTTTGGGACGGGGCCGCACTATGTAGTTCATCCTCCTGCCTCAGCCTCCCAAGTGCTGGGATCACAGACCTGTGCCACTGTGCCCACCCTTGCTGTGTTTCTACATTGTTTTAGTTTTGGATTTGTTTCTTGTTTGGGTCTCTGGGTAGAATCCAGGGCCTCAGAGAGGCTGGGCAAATGCTCTGACTATAGACCTCTAGGTTGTTTCCACAGATAATCTAGAAAATGATCTCTAAATGTGTGCCTCTGAAAGATGTCTGTTTAGAAAAACCTAGGACAGTTTATAAATGGGGTCATTTGAGTCTCGAGGTGGCTCAGGGCCAGCATTCCATGCTGTCCCCTGGACATTTGCTCTTGCTGCGCTCTGCGTGGACCCTGCCCGGACTGCGGCTCTCTGTCCACTGTAGAGTCTATGCTGACAGGTCAGGTCCATAGCTTCTGCTTTGTCCTCACCGTCACATCACTCTTAGATGATACTGTGCTTGGGACTCTGTTGTCTCTTGTTTAGAAATCAAATAGCCTTCCCTGGTAGTAAAAATGGGTTTAGTGGTGGCACGCACCTGTAATTCCAGCACAGTGGGAAGCTGAGGCAGGAGGATCCATTGAACCCAGGAGTTTGAGACCAGATATAAAGACCATATCTCAAAAAGCTGGTTTTTAATGAGTATTTCCCCCATTATATTTTATTACTGGTTATTACTACCTATAAAGGTATTTGTCTATTTTTCTAACATTCTTAAGACTTAAAACCTTGGTGAATGATAACATTGCATACTTAACAGTGTACACATATTATATTAAATATGCAGGTGAATGAAAAGTTTAAAAGGAACCACTTGTGTCATGTAAGGGTCTCCCCATGCGGTGTGGACACTCTCTGTGGGGTGATTGGCTTTAGCGAGCCTGGAACAAGTCAACAGGTCTGCTAATAGCAGAACTTCAATACTTTGTCCCCTGGGTATCCAGCATGTACCTGTTCGAATAGACATTTGCTTGATTCCCACTGTTGGCAGTTGTGACTGTAAATAGCTTTGCACATCTTCCTCAGGGCAGGGGATACAGCTTAGTGGTAGAGTGTGGGCTGGAGGCCCTGGGTTCCAGCCTCAGCACCACACACGTGCAAACCTAGCACAAATGTCATATACAAATGTATTTTTTGCTTGTAAAATAATTTTTGTTATAAGATCAGATTCATCGTGGGGAGCCGGTACATGGATATAACACATCTGAATTCCCATCTCCTTTCCTCCCTCTCCTGGACCCCTTTTACAAAAAATCTATTTCTCTGTTTCCTATAATCTGTATTTATTTTGCTCTTTAA